TAACCATGGTTCTCCCTGGGTGGGGATTATCGGTGTCTTAATTTTTGAAATGTATTTTTCAATTTCCCAAACTTTTTACATCGCTCATATTACATATTTTTTTAAAAAATCTTCCAAAACACTCATGCCATTTGCAGTAACATGGATGGAGCTGGAAGGGATTATACTCAGAGACATAAGTCAGAAGCAAAAATAAAAATATGGGATAGACTCACTTAGAGAAGGAATATAGGGGACCGCAAAAGGGTTAGAGAAAAAAGATAAAGCTAGTAGGCAAATCAGAGTTCTGAGGCACACAGAACGGGAGGGAGAGGAAGGGGGTCAAAAAAGGGGAGGGAAGCACACAAGGGACTATGGTGATGGTGCATGGGTGAGGTGAGCTGGTGGTAGATTTTTGGGGATTACACCTGCAGTAAGAAATCAAATGTACAAACATGAACAGTGATGTAAGAAAATACAAAAACAATCATAAATCATAAGTACATTTAAAAAGCTATGGCATCTATTGATAATTTATACAAAATAATTGAGCTGGGACTATAGCAGCTTTGGTAGACAAAGTATTAAAACTCAGAATCTATAGAAGATAACCCGATAATGAAAGAGCACCTCTTCTGAGTTGAACAGGTATGGTATGTGGTCACTTCTGACACCTCCCTCCCCAATCTCACTCCATTCCTCAGTGCAGAGAAGGAAGCGCCTCCTTGAACAGTCTATGTAAGGGGACTCCACCACAGGGAGGGAGGCCGGGAAACAGATAGCTGCAGCATGTTAATCTGCTGCAGGCGACTACAGAGGGCAAAGGGAGGGAACAAGTGCCTTCTGGAAGGTGAAATGAATTCAGAGACTTAATCCTCTTTGGCTGATCTTGAATACGAAGGTGCTTTTTTTTTTTTTTTTTTTTTTTTTGGTTTAACCTATATATGTAAATACTTGTTTGCTCACATTATGCTTATTGCGGTAAAAGTAGGTTCACATCTTGGAAGGGGTGCTATGTTCAACCCTCTACAAATGTAAACTCTCACACCCTGCCCACCACCAATGCTCCCACAATCCTCCACCAAGTTCCAATGAGCCCCTTCTCTCCTCCTGTCCTACCTCACCACCCTCCCAGTCTGATTGCCAAAGGATGAACTCCTGCTCATTTGTGACAACATGGATGGAAATAGAATAATGCTAAGTAGTGAAATGAGTCAGAAGGAGAAAGACAAGTACCGGATGCAGTCAGTCAAGCCCAAGCCAATAATAAACTCCTAACAACTGACTGCAAAACAGAAGGTGCTGTTGATTAATCTTCTGCTACATCATTAAATAAGGTCTATTTAAATTCCTAAAATGAGGCAATATAGGCCTTATGACCTACTGACCTTATTGATATTAGAAAGACAACCTTT